CAAAAGACCTTCTCTCTCTCTCTCTCTCTCTCTCTCTCTCTCTCTCTCTCTCTCTCTCTTTCTCTCTCTCTCTACCTCTGTTTCTGTCTGTCTGTCTGTCTTTCTGTCTGTCTCTGTCGCTGTCTCTGTCTCTGTCTCTGTCTCTGTCTCTCTCTGTCTGTTTGTCTGTCTGTCTCTCTCTCTCTCTCTGTCCATCTCTCTCTTTCTTTCTCTCTTTCTCTCTCACCCCCCTCTCTATGTGTGTATATATAATGTGTTACCTTCATTAATTATCTTTCAATCTATCTTTTCGAACTCATCTTTAAGCCATTCTCTCTCTCTCTCTCTATCTATCTATTTATCAATCTGTCTATCTACCTATCTATCTATCTATCTATTTAAAGAGTGATAAAAAAACAACTTTACAACCTTTTTTTGGTAATATTTACCTCAACACTGAAGTTGCGTGCTTCAGATTTGTACATAACATTTGGAAGTCAAAAGGAATGTGTTTCATATTCATTTTAGAAAAATCCACTAGACAGTTTTGTTTTTCACAGTGCGTAAAAAACAACCCATTTTCAGCTATGTCCCAATTTTTGTAGCATGACGCATTAGTTCGCTTAAGGCCTACCACTAAAAATCCCATCGATTGAGCCATATTGCAAACTACAGTAGTAGTGTAACAGGCCAACAGAAGTTTGCAGATATTTTTTCTCAAGTTTCCTTTGCCTGTTGTGATCTTGGTTAAGATTAGTAAAGAGCAGAGAGCCTTTGGTATTGAACATTTCCTCACCACCAACTCGTTTCGTAAGTTTTGCACAAAGTACAGAAATAACGTTAAAGTGCCCCTACGGCCTTCCTTGATGTCAAGGGTGGAAATGGTTCCCCAGTTATTACCTGTAGAGAATCAGAACTAACAATTCCCAGACAAAACGACCATTTCAGGTCAAACACACACCGTTTGCACTCCTTTAAGCGTCACCAGGATGAGCCCCATGAGACGTCTGTCAGTAGACGATGTCTGCAGCAATGACATTCCTTCATCTCAACTGTCCGCATTCTCAAGCCATATCTTCATCTATGGCTGCGTACCATTTTCCCGTTCGCGAAACTATCACAGTATCAGAGGATAACAGTGTGTTCCTGATTTTTCGATCGTCTTGAAAAGCATGGACATTTCCTCTAAGACATTTTGGTTCCTTGGCAAAGCCCATATTCACCTTTCATGTTTTATAAAATACGCATGCTGTCTATTTGGGCAAACTCACCCCTTCACATATTGTCTCTAGAAACTGCTCCATACTGTAAGGTGTACAGTGTATGTGGCTTTGATACTCACGGTTGACTTGGTAAATATTTTGTGTTTGGCCATTTTTTAACATTACGAACGACGCATTAAAAATATATCGAAAGGAAAAGATCAAACCAATCATTTCACGAATTCTTTTACAAGATCTTTTAAATTGGTGCATTTTGCGTTTGTAGGTGGTTTTTATAAAAAGCCATTTCCGTTTGTTAAAAACAGCCTCTTATTTGTGAAATTTATGTCAAACAAATTCCTTTTGATTGAATTATATCTATTCCAAATTACAACTTTCTAGGAGAAAATTTGTGAGAGATATTTTGAAAAATAGTTGTTAAGTTTTTTTGGGATCACCCAGTATCTATCTATCTATCTATTTATCAATCTACCTATCTTTCTATCTATGTATGTATGCATGTATGTATGTATGTATGTATGTATGTATGTATGTATGTATGTATGTATGTATGTATCTATCTATCTATCTATCATTCTATCTATCAGTCAATCTATCCCGGCCCTGGTTCGAGTCCCAAACAGGGCTAGGCGTTTTTGATTGTTTGTTTTTTTGTTTATAATATTGTTGTTGTTTTTGTGGTTGTTGTTTTGTTTTGTTTCTGTTGTTGTTGATGCTGCCGCTGTTATTGTTGTTATTGTTATTATTGTTGCTGTTTTTGCTTGTATTTTGTTGTTGATGATGTTGTTGTCGTTGTCGTTGTTGTTGTTGTTGTTGTTGTTGTTGTTGTTGTTGTTGTTGTTGTTGTTGTTGTTGTTGTTGTTGATGATCATGATTTGTTGCATTTGTGGTAATAAACTTTTCTTTTTTTTTAATATTCAAAATGTGCAAGACACCTTTTTTAAAAAATTTTTTACTAAAAGATTTACGGCACTTGTGGTAACATACCTTCCGAAGATTATGGATCTTACAAGAGAGCAGCAAAAATATTAAAACAGGATTACATATTTGGACATATAGCCCTTATCCACTCTTCACAGTATGCTCTAGTTTTAGTAGAGGTTTTACGGCGCTCGCAACTGTAGAAGGTCATATCATAGGGGTGGGTATCAACAGAGAATTCTTTACAGTGAATCATGCTTATTCTGCTCACCTCTCTGGCTTCAACAGCATAAAGTCTGCTTCAACTATCAAGGCACCTCGGAAATAGCGGGTCACAAGAGTCTGACAAACATACAAAAGAAGTAGAGGGAAAATGACGATAGAAGGGATTAGGAAAGAAATTACAGCAGTTCCTTTGCAGTTCAGGCACAGTTATGAGCTTGACATTGATGAATCAGCCCATTTACAATTCTGCTGTGCATAAGAACATGTTAATGTCCCCCTTTTGAGAAAGGCCTAAAGACACTTCAGTCAGTAAAAGTGACAGCCAAGAACCATAAGAAAGTGATCTCATAACTACGAGGGTCGTTCAAAAAGTTTTGCCTCCCCTCCAATAACTTCAAAGCTATTCAAGATATCTTCATGAAATTTGTACACCATTGACTTTCAATATATATACTCTCAAACCCAAAAAACAGAATCATGCTACGATGTCACACCTTTATGTTATTGCTGTTTACATAATAGAAGCTATGGTACATTGTCGCCAAAAATGGCGTCCAGCAAACCTATGAATGTGCGCTTAAAGCAAAGAGCTGTTATTGAGTTCCTTACTGCAGAGGGAGCTGCACCCATCGATAGTCATAGGCGAATGAAGCATGTCTATGGTGAAGCATGTGTAGATGTAAGTACTGTTCGAAGATGGACAAAGGAGTTTGCTGAAACCAATCCAGCAGAGACTGATTTGCATAACCAAGCTCGATGTGGTCGTCCCAACTCTGCCAGTGATGTTCAACACCAGGAGAGAGTGGATGAGATCATCCGAGCAATCCTGACTCGTTATACTGATGAAGGTGAAGCTTTCTTACGCCGCATAGTCACAGGAGACGAGACTTGAGTACACTATTATGACCCAGAGAACAGAAAACAATCGAAAGAATACAGGCACACTGGCTCACCTAGCCCCAAGAAGTTCAAAGTTGTTTCATCTGCAAAGAAAGTGCTTATGATAGTGCTTTGGGACTGCATGGTCTGATTCATATATGGAATTTTTGGAACAGGGTTCCACTATCAACTCTGAACGATATATTGAGACTCTGAGAAAACTTACAGCACGGCTGTCACGAGTTCGGCCCGGAAAAAATGTAATTTTGCACCACGACAACGCCCGTCCACACACGAGTCGACAAACTCAAGATGCCATGGAAAGTCTCAGGTTTCAAGAGGCCTTATCGCACCCATCACAATGTACAGACCTTGACCCTTGACCCATCATACAGTCCAGACCTTGCTCCATCTGACTTTTAGCTTTTTCCTAAGTTGAAGGAGTACCTCAAAGGAAAACGCTATGCAGATGACGATGCATGAAGTTTAAGAAGATGTGCGTCGGTGGTTCAGAGGAAAACCACGTGAATTTTTCGACGACGGCATACGACAACTTATTCGACGTTGGAGGATCTGCATCGACAAAGAAGGCGACTATGTTGAAAAATAAATGTACTCTCTTGTAGCAGACATTCTATCTAAAATCTAAGCTTTCATTCGGTGTGTAACTTATGTATGTAGCATCAATAATAAAGAAATTATGAACTTGGAGGCAAAACTTTTTAAGCGACTCGTGTAGCTACATCACTACTTATATATTTGAGGAGTCCCGACAAAGTGAGTTACTTCTTTGAATTTGGCCACATTGAAATAGATAATATGTCAGATATTGAGACTGAGTTTGTCAATGTTATCTTGTTTCAAACAATCAAACGGCATGCTAAACTTAAAGAGAGTGGCACAAGTTGAAAATCTACAAATCATTTGACCTCTGTTTCCATATTTGGCCGATACAACCATATGTGGATTGCGAGAAGTAATTCATTTTATCAGCACATGACCTCTCATGACCTAACTTGATGGCGCTTGTAAAAATGCATAGTGCACTTACGCCTATCTAAAATACTGTGGGTTCTCTTAATACGTCCTAATCGACTCAATTTTTATTTAAGAAGGCTGGCTTTGATACTTGCCAGTCAGCACAAACTCGTGATGAGAGGGATACATCCTCACAAAAGAAAAACCTAGATATCTGACCGAAATTCTCCTTACTTTGGGAATCGAACTCGGGAGATGGAAAATAAAATTGCGCAGGTTTTACGCTGTTATGTAACGTATTACTCAATAAGCCGCCCTTCTTATGTACGGTAAAGTGCACATGTTTTTGAGTGTGGTATCGATTACGTGGTCTGTAGTCGTTAAGGAAAAAAATCCCAGACAAATTTTTAGATCTAATGTTTGTTAACACGCATGCAAAAATAACAACAACAAAGAAACAAAAATAATCAATTTCCATGAGCAGTAAGTGAGGGATTCTTTACGTAAGACATGTCACCAAAATCCAATATGGCCACTGTGTCAATGGAAACTAAATTGTTTTCTCAAATTTGATTGCGGATTTTAAGACTCCTTACCATGTTTTTTATTTGTGTGAAATTTGGTAAAATTCCGTCAACTTGTAAGCGAGATAGCCTTCAGGTGTAGCCTCCACCCCTTAAGCCACAGATAAGCGATTTTATACCAAAAGAACAGGTTGTTGTTTGTTTTTGGGGGTTTTTCCACGAAAAGAGGATCTCCTGAAATGTAACTTTCAAAGCTGTACCTAAATCTACGGTCTCATTTCAGTGAAATAATGAAATATTAGTATTAATCATGTCAAAAGAACAGGTTGGTTTGGGGGGGGGGGGTTCCTCGAAAAGAGCAACTCCTGTGATGTAACCTTCAAAGCTGTACCTAAATCTACGGTCTCCTTTCAGTGAAATGAGGCGTCGTGGTGAAATCAGGCGCTCGTCAAAATAATGAAATTTAAAAAATCAGCGTTTTGGGGGTAGATGGGCAATTTTTTTTTTTTATTCTATTTTTGGCTCAACACCTTTCATGTCCTTTTAAAAGCACATTTTTGTGTCGATTTTACAAAAGAGCACTAAAATTAATTGCACAAAAAAAGTAAATTGCCAGTTTCCAAGGACTCTCAGGTAATGGAAATTACTAAGTTGGGCGGCCATTTTTTAGCTAATTTTACCTCTGAAACCAGCTGACCCTGACCTCCTTCAATCACAAAAATTTCAACTTCTATTCAACATAGATGGATATTTTTTTTCAAATAAAGGATGAAGAATGAACGGGCTTTAAGATGTTACCAATAACTCCGTATGGCCGTAAATTGACGAGCGCCTGATTCCACCACGTCATGACAAATATGAAACATTAATACGTGAGCTAGGGCAGTCATGCTCGACAAATAAATCGTGCTGCTGAGCACTTCATACGGAGGGCAATTTTAAAAAAGTATAAGGAGGGAAGAGGGGGGGGGGGT